CCCGCGGCCCTCCGCGCTCTTGGGGAACGGCTTGATGACCGCCGTCTGGTTCGGGCTCTCCTTCTTGTTGATGTGCACCGACAGCCGCTGCCACAGGTGCTGCCCCCTGCTGCTCCGCTCGTTCTGCGCCCAGGTGACCGACTTGCCGTTGGAGCTGCGGAGACAGAGAAGACAGAGACTGAGCGCGGCCGCGTCCCGCGTCTCCCCGGGAACGGCGCGTCGGGAGCGCGCCCGGGAGGGGCCTGGCGGGGACCTCGCTCGCCCGGTCTGGCGTTAGAGGTCCCCTCGCCTGGCCCGGGGGTGTGCCTGGGAACCAGTGTTGGAAGGGCGCGGGGCGCCAGGGCACTGGGCCGGGCTCTGCGGAGCCCGGACGCCACCCGCTCCAGCGGAAGCTGCTCGTGCTGCAGATGCAGCTGCGGGATTTGGAGCTTTACGGCCATCTGCGGAAGTGCCTGGTGCGGGGCAAGGGCCTCCTCTGCACAGAAGCGTCACAATTAGGAATCAGATTCACAGCCCGAAGACAGGAGGGAAGGTGTGAAAGAATCAAGGGCAGGAAACGCAGAGGTTCCCGTTAAGCTGCTATCCTGCAGGGTGGTGTAGATCCAGCCCTGTGTCCCTAGGGATGTCTGCCCGAACTTCTAATTTTGGTCCCTAGGGATGTCTGCCCGAACTTCTAATTTTGAGCATGGTTTTATTTAGTCTGGTCCAGGTGCTGGAAAAGTACAAATTCAGTGAAGGCACACACAAATTTTTCATTAATTAGAATTTTTTCAAAAAAAAATTTTTTTTTTCTTCACAGTGATTCTCACAAATTTATTTTTAGCCCTCGAATTTGAATAATAATTCTAGAAGGGAGAAGGCAATGTATTTCCTTTGGCACCAAGCATAATAACCTCAGATTAGAGACTTCGGTTTTTTTTTAAAGGCCTTTCCCCTCTTTCATTTCACAAGCAATTCTTGTTTGGACTCTGTTCTAGGCTCTCGAAGCTACTGTAATGACGATGAATTTGGTGGCTCAATCTCAATCTCTGCGCCCTAAACACCAAAAAACTGACACAGCCTCCAAAGCACATTTCCTCCATCAGAAACCTCACTGTCGCCAGAGGATATGACCTAACCTGCAGGGATATTACATAGTGCAATCCTGGTGTGATTCCCCATCACAAATACGTACAAGATCTCTGTAACTAGAGATCTGTTACCTTTAATGCAGACAGATTCGTTCTGGAATTGTGACCAAGAGGTAGCCTTGGGCAGTCTCGGAACAGAAGACTTTGAAGAACCCAGTTCTGTTATGTGAGCCAGTGGTTACTAAACCTAATTGTTTATGAAACTTACCTAGGGCATTTATCAAAATCGCTAGATGTGTCTGCAGAGATTGAATGTTTAGAATGGGTTCAAATTATGAATGCTTTTTACAAGAACTCTGTGGTGTGCCTCTGCCCTCTAAAGCAACTTGGAAGCAGACATTTTGAAACTGAGAAACATTGACACAAAGCAGTCTTTTTTTCCCTGAATTGTCATTGTTCCCTTGCCCTTCTTGAAGAAGGGTTTGGTTTCCTTTGCTAGGCAGGAGCCTCAGCCTTACTTGGAGCACCGCTGACTGCCTTGGTTTTGCCTGATTGCGCCTTCCCGATCTACTCTGTATGAGACACTTGCTCCCTTGATTACAGTCTGTTTAACAACACTCTTCTGGCTTCTTTCCCATGCTGCTTGCTTCATATGTGCCTTTTTTTTTTTTTTTGCGTCTTCCTTTCTCTGCTCTCTCCTGTATAGGCAGTCTATCATTTCATTTAACCTACTGTACATATGGCAGCCCAGTATTCTCCCCAATTCTGCATTGTAAAATGTCCCTTTCCTCCAGCTCTCATCTGGAAAGGATGATCAAATCATTTCCAGATATAGAGGTTGCTCTGCATTCATAGTAGAAGTAGCACTGACATATGTTTGACTTTTCTAATACAGTTGCAGGATTTGTTTTTCCATTTTGCATTAACCTGCCATACTTCCTTTTAAATTTTTAGTGCATTACACTTTCCCAGGAGTACATTAATTTTGCAACATGGCACAGAAAAAAATGGGCCAGATTTTTTATGGGATGTGATTGAAAGAGTGGTTCCCATATACTCCCTTTTTCCCTACCAGCAGGATAGGAAACGGGCATTCTGGGAGAGGCAGTTACTCTTTCAGGTCACCAGGGCCCCTTTTAATACAAAGCATGGGCTAGAAACTTGAAGCATAACTGGGTTTATTCTACCATGCTTTACCCTAGGGATGCTTTTTCTTCCAGCAGAGAGCTTTCGGGAACACCTGCTGTTAAAACCTCTCTCCATCTCTCAAATGCTTTTAGTGTGAAATGGTGAACATAACTTTGGATGTTAACAGTGACAGTTTTTCACATCACACATAGACATGCCGCAAAACATGATAGCGTACTGAAAAACTTGTGGGTGAAAGTATAAGAAACGCGTCTGTCCTTGCCTCCCCTCCCCTCCCTTCCCCTTCTCTCCCCTCCTCTCTCCTGCCTTCCACTCCCCTCCTTTCTTTTCTTTTTTCTTTCATTCATTCATTTTCTTCTCCTTTGTATTTCTCCTTAACATGCTTGAAGAAAGCTTTCCTGATCCCACCCTCAACTAGATTCCCATAGCACATGCATTTAGGCATTTAATAACTCTTTGCATGTATTGTTCTCCTCTGCTAAGTGGAAGGCGTAGGCAGAGGGTTGTTTCCTGTTATATCCATAATGCCTCGACATTGTCTAGAACATTGTAGGTGTTCAGTAATATTTTGGGGTCAGTATTTGAGTGGATAAATGCATTTTGGTCTTAAAATTCATAATGGCTTTTGGTTAGAAACAAGTTTTAAAACTGTTTAATATTAAGGAAATTCTATTTCTCTCTCATCATGGATATAGCTACATGTTATGTAGCTCCCACTAATCAATAGTAGTGTATACAGATAAATGATATTTCATTAACTGTGAAAACTCAAATCTTGATATCTACATTAAAGATCACAAAGGGATACTTTGTTAAACATATATGCATATATATATATATATTATTGAAATTTGTCAGGGATGAAAGATTATTGAGACCGTATAGGTAAATGAGGTAAGATAAGACCCACACTGTCAATCTCAGATCTGACCCTGACTGGTGTTGGGAATGTCACAACACCTTTGAGTGCATTTCTTGAAAAAAATGGAAGAAATAAACATGTGTTCACATGATTTCTGGATGGAACCAGAAGGATCCTACATGTAAAGATAATCAAACACAAAAATTCCACAAGTACAGGGGTCATTCATTATCATCAAACTTCTGTTTAGTTATTATAAATTCTTTTTTATTATTTAGGCTGATAGGGGCTGGGGATTTAGCTCAGCGGCAAAGCGCCTGCCTGGCAAGCGCAAGGTCGTGAGTTCGGTTCCCGGTACTGGAGAAAAACCAAAACAAAAAAAGAATGAATTATTTAGGCTGATAATTTCTTTTTCAGCACTGAGATTATGTTTCTTCAAGTGGCCTGAGGTAAGTAAGTGGTAAATAAAAAGAGAGCTTTTCTTTACCTGCCCATAGCATTTGTACTTTTCCCTACTGCATCTGTTGAGTGACAAAAGAGGACGAATAAAGAAGTTTGGAAGTAGAGACATGACATAACGATTTGGTACATCTGGACGGGAACCAAAAACATTTCTTGCTCTTTTCTAAATACCAATTAACTCTTTTCAAAATATACTATGCAATCTAATGTCTTCCCTTTTACGAAATTTGTTCTTTATTTGTAGAATTTAAAAAAAACTCAGTGTGATGTGAAGATTAGGTTGTTTTGTGGGGTGTTGAGTTTTGTTTATATTTCAGGTCTACCCAAATGACACCTTGTACCTTTATTCTCAAAAGTTTATTCTTCCTCTTCTTCCCTTCCATGTAGAGCACTTAAATAATTTATTAATATGAGTCAGGCTCTAAATGTCAGCTCGATGAGCCCTCACAATTTCCCTACTCATCTGCCCAGACATGAAGAAATTAGAGCATTCTGCCACAGCATGCCGTCCTTACAGAGCGAACATTAATAGAGAGAAGTTTAACCGTCAAAAAGTCTGTGGAATTTACAATTTGTGAATTCACATTAAGTGGAAGTGGAATAATCCAATAGTTTTACCCCGGAATTTTAGTGTTGTATTGGCAGCATATAAACATGTTATGTAGCTCCCACTAATCAATAGTAGTGTATACTTGCATGTTTTTATTACACTGAATTAAAAACAATTAGTCTTAAGCTTTTTTCGGTGGCGTGGTTTATTAGTACCTCATAACTTACAAGGTTTTAGGGCATCAGTGTTGTAATCAAATACACCTTCTAAAAGTTAAATCATTTTTATTAAAAATAGTCTTCATTGCTGATTCTTTCTTGTTTGTGTATTTTGGTTTTGGTCTGAGGGGTAGCCAGGATGGAGATGTTGTATGCTTATGAGCTAAGACAAAAAATAATTGAAAAACTTGAGCAAATGACATTAGCAAATTATGCATGTAGAGTGACATCAGAAAATACTAGTTCAATGAAAGAATCTCATAGATTGAAAACATCATAGGCAGAGAATTTGCAGTGGCAGTTCCACTTTGGGTTAATTTTCTTATACTGTTTATGAATATATTTTGATTTCCATGATTTGCCTTCAGTGAAAAAGTATAGTAATACAGTTTATTTAAAAGATGCTGAAGAATTTGATGTTGTTTATACTAAAACATCCGCAGTAGGTGAAAAAAATCTTTCTGAGCTTTGCTGAAAACCTGACATCTTTTTCTAAAAACTAAACTGAGCACACTGTACTATGTAAGAAAAATGGCAGAATCATTTATATAAATTTCCTCAGTAGTAGCATAAATGGATTTAAATAGCTATCTTTTTGACAGTTTAAATAGCTATGAGAATATATGCATTAGAGATATATACAAGGGGAAAAATACTTGAGTAAAGTGAAGTCAATGAATAAATTAACAGATATAATGATCAAAATAATATATTTGCATAGTGATTTATAGATTACTTTTAGGAACATTCTGATTGTCGAGGTAGAGAAGACCACTGTCCTCACTCTTTAAAAAATGAGGAAACCAGAAGCGAGTGACATCAGCTGATTTGCCCTATTTGTTT